TCTTAGTACACGATGTAACTACAGAAGAGTCAAGTTTTAAATAGGAAAAATATAGAAACTCTTTGGTCATTTGAGTGAGATGCTAACGGTCTAATCAGATTCAATGATCTATGCTAAGCTACAGCTAAAAGTGCTACCGCCAGACCCGGAGATCGGCTGAATGGATTCGAAAACAGTAAAACTCAACTGTTTAACTCTAGGGGAGTTGGAAAATGAGCCTATTTTCAAAAAGTAGTGGAGTGTTCCTTTAAATAATTAATTTGATTAAAACATTTTTTAAATTAAATACAATTTAAAATAATTTGCTTTAAATAAAAATGGTTTAAATTTTAAGAAATTCAATATTCGAAACCAGGTTGAAACCCCTGTGCTAAACACCACAGATGAAGTGTTACTCACATGTACCTCAGCCTCGCCGTTGGCTTTTTCCTCTTCATCTCCTTCAGCTGTGGAGAGTGCTTCTAGTTTCCTTTTCTCACGCTTCTTTTTCTTCTTTTCCTTCTTTTCGAGCTTACGCTGGATTGCGGCAGCTACCTCACTAGCCTGCGAGACAGAAAAATGTTAATGTATTTGCATTTGTACGAGGCTAGTAAAATATGAACTTTATAATGCTGTGTCAGACTCATTAAATCAGTTTTTGCCTCCATGTAGGAGTCAGGAGAGAAGATTCATCACTCACAGCACTTCCTGAAACTACAGTAACAATGATTCCTAGTGAGAAACCTTGATAAACAGCACTTTAAAAAGGCATTATTAGCAAGTATTAAAAGCCCTATTGAACCTTAGGCAACATAAGTCAATCTCAGAACGCATTACAAAACAAAAAAAAAAAAAAAAAGAGAAAAATTCCAAGGCATCCAAATATGCCTACTTCCCTACTATAAAGCAGATAAAAATCAGCATAGGAGGGGGGAGAATTTTTTTTTTTTAAATCCAATGAAGTTGATTTACTCATCTAAAAGGTCAAATTAAATCACTAAAAAAAAGCAGCCAGTTTAACCGAATTTGACAACGAACCACATAATTAATAAATTGTGCTTGGAACATATCTTAGACATGTTTACTTGACAAGCTATGTAGAGTTCTGACCATAACATTTCATAATCACAAAAGGTTTGATTTTAGCTAGCATGCTGGCTAATGATCGGTTCTCACCTGTGCAACAGCTTCTTTCATGACGTCCAGGTTCTTACGTGGCGCGTCTCCCGTCTCATAGAATGCCAGACGTTCTTCGACCTGGTCACGCAGCTTGTCACCGAACACACTGGTGGGAACCTCTGTGCGAACAGAATAAAGATGTCAAGACAAAGACAAACGAGAACAACTAAAGAACACCGAAGTGTATGACCCAGAGTTCTGCTCAGGATTAACATCTCAACAACCACTGAGGTGGGTTACTGTTGACGAAAAATAAAAGCATCATAGCAAGAACCAAGTAGCAGAAACTAACTAAATGAGAGGAGATGGGACGCTCACCAGAAAAGCAGTCAATGCGTGATGCAATGGTACACTTGTTGGCCAGGTAACGAGAGATACGACCCTTGTTCTTGGCAGCTGCACGCCCGATGAACGTTGAATGGAAAATGAGACCGTACTTTGGCGTGTTTCCTCTGGTCTTCAGCGCCCTAATTCACAGAACAAAATCCATCTACACCACTAGGACTCTAAAATGTTTAGCCGAAACCAACAATTCCTTTATTTGGCTAAATATTTCTGGTGCATCACTACCAAAATGTACTGCTATACTTGAAACTTAAGGTCTAATTCACACACACAAAAAAAAAAAAAAAAAAAAAAAATTT